ATTACACCAATTTTGTCTATGCAACAGAATAGAACTCCCCCAAATGGTTTCAAAGGCACTGAATCTTTATGGAAACAGATTATCTCATATTTCTCCTGCAACTGTTGTTGTTGTTGATTGCCAACAAGTCGAGCAAAACTCCTAGTGACTCTCTGAACAAAAGACCTAATGACTTTCCATAGCTATTGTCATTTCTCCAAGTTCATAGAGTTTCCAGAAGCATGTGGTTTAGGAAGTGGTTGCCACTCCTGCTTCAAAACCTGTTTTACAATTGGAGCTCCACCAAACACTGTCCACATGGGAAACCATTCTGGTATTTGATACCCCAATGGTACAAGGTTCAGCATCACAGCAAATCCAGATTACTTCATACTGCACATTGACAAAGAGTGATGCACAAAGTGGAAGAGTGTTCTTCCAGATATAACAGCACTTTCATTTAGCAATGGTTAAGTGTAAAGTTGAATACAACTAAGAGTTGTGCACAAAAGGCCTGAACTCTGTTCTATAACTATCATCATTTCTATACAGAACTCTGTTCTATAACTAACATCATTTCCATGCATTTATAGAGAGTTTGTAGAATTTGAAGAGTTTGTAGAGTGTCCGGAGGCATCTTGTTTAGGAAGTGGATGCCACTCCTGCTTCCCAGCATAAATCAATCTGAAAGCTCATCCAAACTCTGTACATAATGGGAAACCATTAGAGTACTTGACAAAACTATGCAACAGTGTGCAGCATCACAGAACACCAAGTTATTCATTTCTGCAAGTAGACAAAAGATTGCTGTATCATTCAAGGAATATTGAGCAGACTTCTACCCTAGGCAAAGGCTCAAGGATACCCACTCTTGGGTGGGGGGGGTGGGAAGAGCAGTAATACACATCAAACACGACCCCCCCAAAAAACACGACCCCAAAAACTTCCCTTACGTGCCCGTCAGGATGTCCATCCAGATCCAGCAAACAGCCAAACTCCCAAGCAAAAGGTTAGTAGTTAAAAACATCAGAGAGAATCCATCCTTCAGAGAAAGCTAAGTGGCCTCTACCCATAAAATTTACAGCCTTTGTAATGGGAGGCAGTGGCTACAGCTTGACCAGAGGCAACCCGGGTGGGGGGAGGGTAGGGATGAAGGCCAACTCTGCAGACCGTATTCTACTATGCAACAGGCCTCGCTCCTGAGAGAGGCCCCCAATAAGTAAGAGCTACTTTTTAATTTCCCACAAATCTGAGAAATCGCTGCTTGTTGTCAGGACTGGCACCACCAGAGGGGTCACAGGCACCAGGACTACAGGTGAGATTGCAGCCATCTTCCATCTAGCAGATTCAAATACTAACTTTTAGGTAAGTGAGTGAATGCTTTAACCAAAACACCACCTACATTCCTTATGGTCAGGCTGTTGTTGTTAGATGACTTCAATTCAATTATTAGCAACCCAAAGAACAATAGACCTGAGCATGATCCTATCCTATGTTGTTGGCATGATCTCCATTATGCTCAAGTCCATAGTCACTGTGCCAATTCATCTTATTGAAGGTCTCTTCCTTTCTTCTACTGATGCTCTATTTTTCCCAGAATGATGTCTTTTTCCATGGACAGACCATCCTAGCAAAATCCTTAAACCGCATGAGACAAAGTTTCACTATACTTGGCCTAGTAGCAAAAAGCTGCTTTGCAATACTGAAGGTACGTTGTTAGAATCCACCAACTGCTCCATAGGAGGATGGGCAGTCTCCTCCCATGTGATTGATTACCTGCCCCTGAAAACCTGCTGGAGGGTCTGCTATAGATTGGTTCTGACTTGACAGTACACAATAACAATAACAACATCCTTGTCTCTAAAGAGCACCATGGTCTTCTTCCAAGACAGATTTATTTGTTCTTTTGCAGTCCATGGAATATTCAATACTCTTTGCAACATCACACTCAAAGGTATAATTTCTTCTTCAGTCTTCCTAATTTATTGTCCAACTTTCAGATGCATAAGATGGAATTGAAAGTACTAGGTTTGGGGTCAAATGCATCTCAGTCTTCAAACTAACATCCTTGCTCTTTAGCACTTTAAAGAGGTCCTTGACAGTAGATTTCCCTAATGTAGCTCGTATTTTGATTTTTTGACAGCTGATACCATGAGTATTGATTGTGGATTCAAGAAAAGTTAAGTCCCTGGCAATTTCAATGTTTTTTCCATCTATCATGATGCTGCCTATCAGTTAAATGCTGAGAATTTTTCTCTTCTTGATGTTGAGATCTTCAGCAGCAAGTGTTTCAAATTCTCTTTACTTTCAGCAAACAAGGTTGCATAATCTATAAATATAGGTTGTTGATAAGCATCATCTTCCCCACCTCTGCCAATCCTGAAACCACATTCCTCTTCATATAGTTCAGCTTCTCCAATTATTTCCTCAGTATATAGATTTAATTAGTATTAAATTGATATTTATTGACTAAGACAGACTAGAAAGCAGGATGAGCCATCTACTTCCTAAATAACAGGTCTTTGAAAGTCCTATGAACACTAAAGGAAGAGAATAGTTATAGTAGTGTAGTGGTAGAGACCAAATTGGATGTCAGTTAAAATGAGGAAAAAGAATAACAAACATCATTTAATAATTGGAATATGGAATGTACATGGCTTGAATGTTGGGTGACTGGAAACTGCTAATTGGTATAGTTGTTATTGTTGTTATATGCCATCAAGTTGCCTGTGACTCATAGCTACCCTATGTACAACCACCCTAAACCCTGCTCTATCCTGAGCCAATCTTATTGTCTCTGACAACACCCACCCTGATTACCCAAGTCACTGAATCAATCCATCTCATCAAGGTTCTTCATCTCGTCCACTGTTCCTTCACCCTCCCAAGCACGGCATCCCTCTCCAAGGACTGGTCCCTCCTTGCTACATGTTCAAAATATTTCAAACAGGGTTTCAGAATCCTTGTCTCCAAGGAGTAGTCTAGTTTCACCCTCTCTAGATTGAACCTGTTTATTCCCCTCCAGTCCATGGTATATTCAATACTCTTCTCCAACACCAGAGCTCAAAGGCATCAATTCACTTTTTATCATCCCTAGTCATTGTTCAGCTTTCTGATGCATAGCAAGTAATTGCAAAGACCACGGCCTGTAACAGACACTCCTTAGTCTCCAAACTGACATTGTTGTTCTTCAATATTTTGGAGAGGTCTCTGACAACATACTTTCCCATTGTAATACATCTTTTAATTTCCTGGATGCTGGTACCAAGAGTGTTGATTGTGGAGCCTAGTAAACTGAAGCTGTTAACAATCTTAATCTCTTCACTGTCTATCTTGATGCTGCCAATTGGCATAGTGGTGAGAATCTGCTTACTTGATGTTGAGTTTCAATCCATATTGAAGGCTGAAGTCTTTGGCCTTCTGTCACAAGTGTTTCAGGTCTGCATAATTCAGGTTGTTGATGAGTCTACCTCCAATCCTGATGCCACATTTCTCCTTATGTAGCCCAGACTCTTGGATAATATGTTCTGTACATAAATTGAAAAAAAAACAGGACACGTCCCTGGTGTACATCCTTCCCAATTTTGAACCATGAAGTGTTCCCTTGCTCTGTTCTGATGACAGTCTCTTGGTCCAAGTATAGGTTTCCCATAAGCACTATCAAGTGTTCTGGGATTCCCATTCTTCTCAGAGTTAGCCACAGTTTGTTGTGATCCACACAATCAAATGCTTTTTTGCATAGTCAATGAAACACAGAGAGACATTCCTCTGATACTCTCTGCTCTCAGCCAAGATCCATCTAACTTTAGCTATAATAGCCCAACATGTACATCTACTGACTTTTTAAACCAGGGAATGTTCCCTTGTTCTTTTTGGACAAATATTTCTCACAGGAAATACAATGAGTTCCAGAATCATTTCAACAATATATATCTATTAATTCAACAAATATTTATTGAGCAAATACTGTATACTAGGTACTGTCTTAGATCGTAGGTAAACGGAGTAAGCAAAACTTTCATCTTGGCCTTACAGGACTTGCATTACAAACACAAATGTAAAATTAAATACATGTTAGGTGTAGCACAAATCACACACACACACACACACACACACACACACACACACACACATCCCTCAAACTAAAGCTGGAAAAGGAAATACAAGATTGTGGAACTGCCATTTCAAAAGGAATTTTCAGGAACAGTATCCCTGAAGAAAAACCATTTCATGAAAATTTTAATTGAAAAAGTGGGCCATGCAAATATCTTGATAAAATTGTCCCCAACAGAGGAAATAGCAAATACAAGTCTCTAAAATGGTAAAGATTTTGCTGGTTTTTATTCACTGAAAGCAGCCCTGTGTAGTTGGAGTTGGTTGTGCAAAGAGGGAGAACGATGGGAATATCAAATAGGATGAGACTCATGTAGCTATAGACCTTACAGGAGAAGAGAAAATCTTTGGAGTCTCTTCTGAATGAGGAAGCCACAAGAAGTTTCTGAACATGAAATAAGCATGATTTAGTTATATTCTAAAAAAACAAAAAACACAACAACAAAACCCAACCACACTGGATGCTATTCTGAGCAAACTATCCACATAGGAACAGAAGTGAAGGGAAATGGTACACACACGAGTGGCATTGTGGTCTAGGCAAGATCAAATAGTGACTTTGACTGGGGTTATTTATCAGAGGTGAAAAGGGTGGATAGTCAATTTATGTATGTCTGTAAGGTCATATTAAATAGTATGTCTAACTTTGAAAAATTTTTATCTTGATTAAAAACAATAGAATGATAGTAACAGTTGAATAAATGCCTATTGTGTTCTATGCATATTATTCATAGTATCTGTTACTTTTCCCAGGAACCAGAAGATAGATATTCTTAATATCATAGTGCAATAAGTGATCAGAGGCTGATATCTAACATATTTGGCACAGGTATAATTTGGGAGTGTTCATTTAGATACATAATCTATACAATCTCAGTATAATGTCTTTTTTTCCCCTCCTCTTGTAGCTGCAGCACGATTTGAGATGGATAATCAAACAGATGTCACTGAATTCATCTTCTTGGGATTTTCCAACCACCCCAATTTAAAAGGGTTATTCTTTCTGATCTTCTTGGTCATTTACCTGACAACTCTTCTGGGGAACATACTCATAATTACAGCTACTAGGGTCAGTTCTTCACTCCAAACTCCAATGTATTATTTTCTCAGCAACCTCAGCTTCTTGGACATCTGCTACACATCCACCACCATCCCAGTCATGCTAGTGAATTTCTTCCGTGAGATAAAGACTATCTCATACGAGGGCTGCCTTTCCCAGATCTTTTTCCTCGTGACCTGTGCAGGCACTGAGGGTGTCTTATTAGCAGCTATGGCTTATGATCGCTATGTAGCCATCTGCCACCCTCTTCGATATCCGGTCCTCATGAGCATGAAGGTCTGCGTATGTTTGGTGACTAAGTCATGGTTGTGCGGGCTAGTGAATTCCCTCACACACACAGTGCTGGCAGCCACCCTCACTCTGTGTGGACCCAACCAGATCAGCCACTTTCTCTGTGACATCCCACTGCTCCTGAAGCTCTCCTGCTCAGACACCTCTCTTAATGAGGCTGTGCTCCATGCAGCCAGTGCCACCATTGGACTGAGCCCCTGCCTGTTTACCGCAGTGTCCTACATACTCATCCTCTCTGCCATCCTGAGGATTCCCTCTGCTCAGGGCAGGAGAAAGGCTTTTTCTACCTGTGCTTCCCACCTCACTGTGGTGGTGGTTTTTTTTGGAATGGCCAACTTCAACTATGACAGGCCCAATGTAGGCTACAACCTGGACATTGACATTCTGGTTTCTGTACTCTTCTGCATTATTACTCCTATGCTTAACCCCATCATTTACAGCCTGAGAAACAAGGAAGTCAAGGGGGCCATGAAGAAGCTGGCTGGAGAACTGAGATTCTCTAGAAAGATTAATGATTAAATAAATATTTTTGATTGTTGGAAATGATTCTTACATGGAAAACCATATGGCATTTTGGAAACAGTTGTAAAAGTGGTCCCTCTATGAAGTCTCTTTTGAGCACTGAGATGTCACATCCCGCCAAAGCTAACAGCTATGCTGACACTGACCATTTCATATATTCTGTTCATATGAGCACTTGTTCTCCAGATTTAACAAAAATTTTAACGATTTTGCCATCCCAAAAGAAGTTTCCTACTAATGACTAGTCCTTTCCATTTCCAGATCCCCTAAAACTTAACCTTATTGTTGTTGTTATGTGTTGTTGAGTCAATTGCAACACATAACACTCCTATGAACAGCAGATCTGAACCTTACCTTGCCCTGGGCTGCCCTCACCATCTTCCACACAATGGAGCCCATTGTTACAGTCATCATGTAAATCCACTTTGTGGGTCTTCTCTCTTATAATGATTCTCCACCTTTCCAAGCATGATGCCCCTCTCCAAGGACTGACCCCTCCTAACAACATGCTCAAAGTATGTGAAATAGAGTTTCATGATCCTTGCCTCTAAGGAACACCCTGGTTGTGATTATGTCTATGTCTATTCTTAACACTTCACACAAAAGAGAAATAAAATATGTAGCATTATGTGACTGCCTTCTTTAACGTGGTATGTGTGCATGTTGTAGTATATTATCTATCAGTCAGTACTTCATTCCTTTCTTTTTATTTTCAAATAATATTGTTGCTGTTGTTGTTGTTATGTGCAGTTATGTCATTTGCAACTCATAGCGACCCTATGCACAACAGCCCTAA